TAATATGGCTTCTTCTTAACAAGATCTTAGTCTATGCTGTGTTCTGTTAATGCGTGAACTTCATATGCCGTCCAGTAATCGCAAACAAGCTTTGTGCTTTGTTACTTTTTAATAAACAAAGTATCAGCTTTAAAATTATTCAAAATTTATAACGAAATTCAAACAATAAATACAGTTTTGTTTTTGGTGCTCAGTAATGCGGCAGACGCGATCACTTTAGCGCCTCGGTTTAAGCAGCAAGTGAACCCATTATATCTTTCTCTTTACAACTATAGTACATAATAGACATGAATTAACATCAAAAGGTAGGCTATTTTATAAGAGAGCCTACAGTACAACTTACTGAAATGTCTCATTCAGTGTTTCAAATTGCGGAAAACGTGTAAAGCTTGTAAACATTGCAACGTAATATAGGTACATTTACCTCAGAATAACCATTCGGTGTCCATAAGCTCATCAGTCAGCTAGAAAAATAACTATAAAGCATTTTACTATATTTATGCGCTATTGCATTTTAATATTTTTACTTAACCTGTTGTCTCCATAATTCAACTCCTATAAAATTGCATTTTACTAATTAAGAAAAACAGACTGAAAGTGTGAATGACATACGCTCTTAAAAATAAAGGTGCTTAAAAGGTTCTTCACAGAACCATTTTTGGTTCCACAAAGAACCATTCAGTCAAAGGTTCTTTAAAGAACCATCTCTTTCTCAACTTTTTATAATGTTAAAGGTTCTTTATGAAACCATTTAGACAAAAAGGTTCTTCTATGGCACTGTGAAGTAGGGCTGTGTATCACCAGCATACGATACGTATCACGATACTTGACTGGACTGAATTTCACCTCAGCAGAATTTAGAAAAACAGCTGTTTATTAAACACTGCTTACTATAGTGCCATTTCCAACTATTGGCAGAGCAGGCAGCTGACCTCTACATTATGAAGGGCCTCCATAACTGTACCACAGTACAATATAGGCAATGGCATATGTTTCATGTTTACATTGTGCACTCCCCACCAGGTACACTATTCTGATTGTTTGCATCTTGTTTTTAAGCTCATAAATAATAATGTACTTGTTCTAATAAATTTATATTGTAATGTACTCATTCTAATATATTTAAAAAATAATAATAATTGCTGGTAGGTTATCATTGCACAAATTAACACACTCTCTACAATAAAAAAAAAATTGTCTTCACTGTATCTAACGCTCAAGGCTGATTTATACTCGACACTTCCACAAGTTTTTAAAAAATCTTTTATTGCATAACAAGAACAATAACAACATAGGTGCGCGTGGCAAATATGACGTCATCGCGGTGTTGGCGGAAGTTCGCTTTGAGTGCGCGCGACGTCGTTTCGCGTGGCGGTGTTGTTTGTCGTTTCTCCGATCACAAATGCAGACATGGTTTTATGCTTACGCGGTGCGATGCAACGCAACGCGTAAAACGACAGTATAAGTCATTATAATCCGTAATTATGTCCCCACTGGATGCAACAAATGTCTAATTTATAATGGATTTTATTGGTTTTGTCTCGTCGCGCCGGGACACGGCATCACAGTATGATAAGGGGCATAACATTTCCGTCACACGCTTGAGGAATTCGGCCAATCACAACACACTAGATAGCTGGCCAATCAGAGCACACCTCGCTTTTCAGAACGATGAGCTTTGTAAAAATTGACGCGTTTCAGAAAGGCGGGGCATAGATGAGAAACAATAATGTACAGTATGTGGAAAATAATGTGTTTCTTTGAACCTTAAACCGCATAAACACATTTCATTACACCAAATACACAAAATATTCTTTTTTTAGCAATGTCATATGACCCCTTTAAGCCTTCAGCTCGTCTGTATTGTTGGATCCACTGTTTCTCATCTTTCTCTTGAAAATATCCCATAGATTCCATATGGGGTTCAGGTCAGGCATGTTGGCTGACCAATCAAGCACAGTAATATCATGGTCAGCAAACCCCTTAGAAGTTGTTTGGGCACTGTGGGCAGGTGCTAAGTCCTGCTGGAAAAGGAAATCAGCATCTCTATAAAGCTTGTCAGCAGATGGAATCATAAAGTACTCCAAAATGTCCTGGTAGACGGCTGCATTGACTTTGGACTTGATAAAACACAATGGGCCAACACCAGCAGACTTCACTGCACCCCAAATCATCACTGACTTTGGAAACTTCACACTTAATATAGGTAATGGCATATGTTTCATGTTTACATTGTGCATTCCCCTCCAGGTACAATATTCTGATTGTTTGCATCTTGTTTTTAAGCTCATAAATAATAATGTACTTGTTCTAATAAATTTATATTGTAATGTACTCATTCTAATATATTTAAAAAATAATAATAATTGCTGGTAGGTTATCATTGCACAAATTAACACACTCTCTACAATAAAAAAAAAATTGTCTTCACTGTATCTAACGCTCAAGGCTGATTTATACTCGACACTTCCACAAGTTTTTAAAAAATCTTTTATTGCATAACAAGAACAATAACAACATAGGTGCGCGTGGCAAATATGACGTCATCGCGGTGTTGGCGGAAGTTCGCTTTGAGTGCGCGCGACGTCGTTTCGCGTGGCGGTGTTGTTTGTCGTTTCTCCGATCACAAATGCAGACATGGTTTTATGCTTACGCGGTGCGATGCAACGCAACGCGTAAAACGACAGTATAAGTCATTATAATCCGTAATTATGTCCCCACTGGATGCAACAAATGTCTAATTTATAATGGATTTTATTGGTTTTGTCTCGTCGCGCCGGGACACGGCATCACAGTATGATAAGGGGCATAACATTTCCGTCACACGCTTGAGGAATTCGGCCAATCACAACACACTAGATAGCTGGCCAATCAGAGCACACCTCGCTTTTCAGAACGATGAGCTTTGTAAAAATTGACGCGTTTCAGAAAGGCGGGGCATAGATGAGAAACAATAATGTACAGTATGTGGAAAATAATGTGTTTCTTTGAACCTTAAACCACATAAAACCATTTCATTACACCAAATACACATAATAATGTTCTTTTTTTAGCAATGTCATATGACCCCTTTAAGCCTTCAGCTCGTCTGTATTGTTGGATCCACTGTTTCTCATCTTTCTCTTGAAAATATCCCATAGATTCCATATGGGGTTCAGGTCAGGCATGTTGGCTGACCAATCAAGCACAGTAATATCATGGTCAGCAAACCCCTTAGAAGTTGTTTGGGCACTGTGGGCAGGTGCTAAGTCCTGCTGGAAAAGGAAATCAGCATCTCTATAAAGCTTGTCAGCAGATGGAATCATAAAGTACTCCAAAATGTCCTGGTAGACGGCTGCATTGACTTTGGACTTGATAAAACACAATGGGCCAACACCAGCAGACTTCACTGCACCCCAAATCATCACTGACTTTGGAAACTTCACACTTGACTTCAAGCAGCTTAAATTCTGTGCCTCTCCAGTCTTCCTTCAGACTCCAGACCTTGATTTTCAAATGAAATGCAAAATTTACTTTTATCTGAGGACTTTGGACCACTGAGCAACAGTCCAGTTCTTTTTCTCCTTAGCCCAGGTAAGTTGCTTCTGACGTTGTTTCTGCTTCAGAAGTGGCTTGGTAGCCCTATTCCTGAAGACGTCTGATCGTGGTGACTCTTGATGCACTGACTCCAGCTTCAGTCCACTCCTTGTGAAGCTCTCCCAAGTGTTTGAATCAGCTTTGCTTGACAGTACTCTCAAGCTTGCAGTCATCCCTTTTTCCAACCCATTTTCTTCCTTCCAGTCAACTTTGCATTTAATATGCTCTTTGTTGAGGGTGTCAATGATTGTCTTCTGGACCATTGCCAAGTCAGCAGTCTTCCCCATTATTGTGGTTTCAAAGAACAAGAGCTCTAATCATAAAAATTAAAACAAAAAAAACTTTTGAAATGTTTTACTTTACATGTAATGAATCTAGAATATTTGAAAGTTTCACTTTTTGAAGTAAAAAAAAAAAAAAAAAACGTTTTCACGATATTCAAATTTTTTTAGATGCACCCATGTGTATATATAATGCTGTTTTGGCGCTGTTTAATGTGGAGTGAACGCTGTAGCGGGTCGCACCTCAGTTCAATAAAAGCGGCAGGGCGAGGCGCACATGAACTGATCATCTCCTCTACATTAATACCAGTTTCAGCACAAAATAAACATGACTAAACATCCGAAGGTAAGTTAACAGAAAGAGTACAACTTTACAATCCATATCCTGTCTCATGTGATCGCTCAATCAGTGTTAAAATGAAGCTTGCTGTCAGAAGAGTCTTTTTTGCATCACATCTGAAGTAGGACTGCATGGTATTGGGGAAAAAAAAAAACTCACATTGCAATATTTTTTTCTTCTATGATATGTATCGTGATATGGAAAAAAAAAAATCCACCAGATGACTTGAATAGCTCTATTTGGAAAAAAATAATCAATGATTGGGGTGATTTTGTAGGCAAGTAAATCAGCATAGAAAATAAACCAATTACAAGCATAGATAAATATAATAGAACAAAGATACAAATGAAATAAACAGTGCTTTATATTTTTTCAGGTAAATCTAATAGCATTCAGGGTAGGGTTGCACCAGCCATTCGTAAGTTATTACTTAAATTAGAACGTTAAGTCCACACTAGAGGCTTAGTAACCACTAGCTAGTTTGTAACTAAATCTATATGTTATTTGGTTGCACCAGTTGTTCGTAAGGCAGGACGTAGGTAGTAGTTTGTAAGTTCTCTGTAAAGTAATGCGTAGTCGCATATGACAAATAAGCCTGGTGTAAACATTAATATGAAAGTCAGTAACAAATCACACAAACTAAAGTAGATTGCAGAAATATAAAAACAAATCTGTTGCTTTACCACACTACTTTAGGTAATTCAAAGTCACTGTAATAAACATATGTAAACATGTGCACTGCACTTTTATCTCTTGCACTTGCACTGTCTGTTAACTTTAGACCAGTGGTTCTCAAACTTTTTTGGTCGCGCCCCCCTTTAAACCTATAAAAACTCTGGCTCCTCCCCCCTTTCCCGATCCCCATCTCAGCTCAGAGTACCACATAATTTCATTAAACATTATGAAAAATTTATGCTTATTTAATTTAAAAAAACCTACAGGGAAAAAAACACCTGCATCACTTGAAACATTGAAAAATAGCATAGAGAGAATA